TCTCCAGCATTTGTCATTTGTGGATTTTTGAATGACGGTCATTCTGACTGGTGTGAGGTGATACCTCATTACAGTTTTGATTTGCATTTCTCTGATAATTAGTGATACTGAGCATTTTTTCATGTGCCTATTGATCATTTGTATGTGTTCCTTGAAGAATTGCTTGTTTAGGTCTTCTGCCCATTTTTGGATTGGGTTGTTTACTTTTTTCTCATTGAGTCGTATGAGGTGCTTATATATTCTGGAGATCAAGCCTTTGTTGGTTTCATTTGCAAAAATTTTCTCCCATTCCATAGGTTGTCTTTTTGTTTTACTTATGGTTTCCTTTGCTGTGCAGAAGCTTGTAAGTTTCATTAGGTCCCATTTGTTTATTCTTGCTTTTTTTTTTCTAGGAGAAAATTTTTGAGATGTATGTCAGATAATGTTTTGCCTATATTTTCCTCTAGGAGGATTATTGTATCTTGTCTTATGTTTAAGTCTTTGATCCAATTTGAGTTTATTTTGGTGTATGGTGTAAGGGAGTGTTCTAGCTTCACTTATTTACATGCTGCTGTCCAGTTTTCCCAACACAATTTGCTGAGGAGACTGTCTTTATTCCATTGTATATTCTTGCCTCCTTTGTCGAAGATTAGTTGGCCAAAAGTTTGTGGGTTCATTTCTGGGCTCTCTATTCTGTTCCATAGGTCTATATGTCTGTTTTTGTACCAATACCATGCTGTCTTGATGACTGTCTTCTTTTACTTTTTATTTGGTTTTCTGATGATTTTTAAAACATTCTTCTCTGTGCTTTTGAACTTTTTATGATAAAACAGATATCATTTTTACCAAAGCCAGAAAGCAATTTTCCAAAGAAAATTAAATAATTTCCTGCCCATTATTCTGAAGCCTATGTGTCCATCAAAGTACTAATATAATCTTTTGTCCTTCAGCATTCTAGAAACCAAACAGCAAGTATAGCCATCAACCCAACAACCATAACATGAACCAGCCTCATGCATCTGGGGTCACACGTGTTGATCATGTCATCATGTGCTTCCTGTGTATCTATTGTGCAGGAACAAACAAGACCATTTGGGTTTGAAGCCTGGCTTCACTACTTTCTAGCTGTGTAACCTTGTGCAAGTTCCTTAGCCTCTCTGTGCCTCCATTCTTCATCTTTAATTGGGGGTAATAACACTACATGCTTCAATAGGTTGGCAGTGAGTATTAAATGAGAACACTAGAACCATGTCTGGTCAGCACTGTAAATGCTCACTAGTGTTGTTTACTTCTATTACAGGTCAGGCACAGTGCTGGATGCTGGGGGTTGGGGGCAGGGGAGCAATGGGGATTCAGTTTCCCTTCCCCTCTGGGTCTTGCCCTTGTTGAGCTTTTAGTTGAAAGACAGACGTTAATAGTGCAATGAATTTCAGGAAAGGAGAAGTTCAAGGATGACACACACGAATGAACAGATTATATATGTTTCAATGCACCATTTCTGAGCAAGTCCCTGGCAAACATCAGCTTTTTCCTGAATGCATAGTCAGTGTGTATAAAGCACAGCAACGATCCCTTTGCCATGTGAGTGTCTTTGTGATTGGAAGATTCTATCACTGGGTAGAAGACTATTCATGAGTCCACCACAATCTGCTCCACTTAGAAAGGTACGTATGTGCCTACTTCTTCTGAACTTTCTCCTGAAAGAAATAGAGAGTCAACGTAATGGCTTGCTCATTTGCAGAGCAGATAGATCACTAAATTCAAAGAGCTTTAAAAAGGTAACTTTTAAGCAAGGGATGTTAGTTGCACCTGTTAATATAAGGCAGCTTTGTGAGAAGATCCCAATGCAAGCATGGCCCTGACAGAAGTGATTCTTCGTGTCTTGGGGCCATTCA